TATATGTGGAAGGAAACTGTGACCGAGGACAAGCTGATGGCATAAGATGTAAGTACAACTCCTCCGGTTTCATATGCAAAAAAAATGATTGCGCTAGCTCACGTGGTCACAGTGCTACCGGATTTAAAAATAGTTACGCAAAACGGAGCGTGCGTCATTCATTGTTTGCTGACTCTTCAATCAGACAATGTCTAATAATACTGCCTGCATCCAAACTTAAAACCCTGATTTATTTCCTTTTGGATTCAGGTATTAATCAGTCTGATCATCGCTCATGACATCCTATTTCATTTCAAAGTTTCAAAGTTGTAGACCACAAACCAATAAGTAATGATATGGTGGCCTTGTCTAACTTTTATATACACTCTATGGAGAAACCTTCCAGTTAAAAACAAAGGAAAAGTGTTTAGTCTCATTCTTTGAGCAGATTTATTAAAGAAAGTATCAAGCAAGACAAGAAACAAACAGTGTGATATGAATGGAAAATAAGCCTAAAAAGAAGGGAAGCAGGTTTACACCTCGCATTTATTTTACAGACCTCAATTACACCCGGTGGACATTAGAAGACATAAGATGATAAGCATCTTAACAATGTAATGTTGGCTCAGCTGTTTTCCCAGTAAATAGTAATTACTATAGAGTGTGAATACTGGACTGAAGGAATGTACCCAATTAAGCCAGGGTTTTTTGTCAGTGGATGTCTTTAGGTTAATTATATATGATTCAAACAATTTATTAATGTAAACTTCTGCAATGAAAACATTTTCATTGTGAGATAATACATTCATTAAACCAATAAAATGCATGCATAAATAGGATATTTATAAGCTCGTCTTAACTCGGGCAGGTTGTGAATTAATTCGAGTTAAACTGGAATATTTTGATAAGTTTCTTGTGGTGTGTGTGTCTGACAGAAGCGAGACAGCCCTGACACGGCAGCATCGTTCACACTGGTCTCAAGCGATCTGCAGCGGAAAGACAAATTCATGAGAGTCCTGTTCTCCTGCAACGTACGCAAGGTACAAGCTTTTTAGAGCCGATATCCACGACTTTACCACATGTGCACGCACTCACAACACGTGTCTGTGTGTACAAAGACATAAACCCAGCTGCTGTTGGCTCACAACATTTCCCTGCAGGGTGTGTAAATGTCACCGTGTTTGTGTGCACCTAATGTATCCCGTGGTGTCACTAATGAGGAGCTTTGTGTTTCCCAGATCAACCGTTTCCACAAGTCGGAGAACCGGGCTGTGCTCATCACTGACCGCCACCTGTACAAGATGGACCCCCTGAAGCAGTACAAACCCATGAAGAGCATCCCCCTCTACAACGTATGACACTCTTTGTTTTACTGCTTCTTTTACTGTAAACAGACAAAATCAGCTCTATAGATACTGCTGTAACAGACCCTGTAGTTCAGGGGTTACATGCTGTTTATCTGTTTAGTGGAGATATCATCTTAATTTCAGGAGCGAGACCACTCCTCCTTCACTCAGGCTATAACAGCCCCCCTTCACCAATACCTGCTGTTCTCATTTTCATGCCCCACCCTTCCCCCAATTTTCCCTCTCTTCTCCTCTTCTCCTCTCCTACTTTCCTTCATTCACTTCTCGTTAATACATGGGGATCTGCCCGGCCCGGGAGCCGTTGCCAGTCCCCTTCGAGGCCTTCCCCCAAACCACAGCACCAGTTCTCATTTCCTCATCCCCTCATCACCCATCGTTACCAAGGATGTGGTCCCAGCTAGTGAAATGTAACATAAAGCGTTCTCGATGTAAATTCATATTTACAAAATGAGACACTTGAGTCGTCTCTACCTGAAACATCATAAATTATATAGAAATTCATAGAATATGCATAAATAAGTTTGTTGATTTAAACTTTAAAGTTTTGTAATTAAAAACGGCAAAACAAAGTAAAACAAATAACATTTCACATAGAAATAGTTAGCTTTGAGTAGCAGCTATGTATTCTTACACAAATGCAAAGTAAGGGGTTTTATCATAGTGGTGAAATAAATATAAAAAACTGATTTTAAGCTAAGCCTTTTCCTTTTAAAATACTGCTTCAGGCCTTTCAGAATTCCCCTCGTAAAACTGTCCATTTACTTTCCAACCAGTCAATTTGTCCACTGGAATTACTCGAAACTCTTTGTAGACATTTGCAACCAATGCTCAGAATCCTTTACGTTTTATCTTATTTAACCCTCTCCAGGCAGACGTTGCAGATTTGCAACAGTTAAGAACTAACAACTTGATTACCCCACATACATATTTTATGAGTTTTTTTCTACTCAGAAGTACCACTGCAGGACTTGGTTGTGCATTAGCAACAAAAACTTAATTTGGGCCTGAGAGGGTTAAGAAATGTTCATAAAACACTAAAAAAGATTAAAGAAAATAAATGAGTGGCACTCGAGAAAAGGAGGTTATCATGTCTTATACTTGTGGTATATGAATTGTTATTGTTATTGTTTGTTCAGAAACTATCCTGAACCTGAGCCCTGCTAAGGTACAAAGCCACAGCATCCAGGCTATGCTGCAGTTTGTTGAGATTTTATGCAACACTGTTCACTGTTGTGCTAATGTGTTTTTCCATATGAGTGTTTATAAGTTTTACATACTCCATCCATTGTTTTCTTCTAGCTCTACTGTACTTTGGATAGTAATGACTAAACTTGCTGATCTGAGTCATAGCTTTCTGTAGCTTTGTGATACCAGCTCCAGACGATAGATAGGTGGATCTAAATATCCTTTCTCTGATCAATATCAACCAGATATTAGACCGAATGACAGTGAGTGCGTGAGGGTTCATATGATAATTTATTTATTGCTGAACCCCAGCCATGTATCTGTATAGCACCAATTTAAACTCCCAATTTACTGCAGAATTTAATGACCTACTTATGGCCAAGTTAAATTGTTTACTACATTTAACTGAAATCATATATTGGAAATTAAGAACCTGCTCCTGTGGAATAAGAAGTATGAATTGCCTGGTGTAATTATGCGTAGAGTGAAAGCAGGAATTTGAATCATTCTTCTCATGCTGTACATTAGTTTTAAACTTTATGTTTAGTATTTAGTAATGGAGTGCTGCTCGAAAGGTTTCCTGTAATTAAAGAGTCTTAGATATTTTTTTCAGTTGATTAACTGCTTGGTCTGTCAACATGCTGCACAATGGTACAAATATTAGAAACATTTGCTCAGACTAATTGGCTTAAAATGATCATTTAAATGAGTTTAAATGATATATTTTTAACTATTGGGCAAGCAAATTCCATCAGTTGTACGTGCAAAAATCCCATTCTTTTAAACTTTCGGTCATGTCTTTAGGGAATTTCTTTAAGTTCATCTGAATCTGCAAAAACACATCTCCTCACATAAATCAGAATCTTATCTGAGAAACAGGAGGTGAGATTGTGACCATGTTTCATCTGTGGTTGTGTATTGAATTGGTGTTATGAGTCTAGCATCCCCACTTTGAAGTGGTGATTGTTATATCGATCTACTGGGTTGCCAAGTTGAAGATGTGTGTCAATAATCCAAGTTTTACAAATCATTGTAGCAACATCCCCGAGTTTATCTTCTGAAAGTGGATATTTCTTGGCAAAACATTTTATTTGATTCTTTTTTTAATTAATTTCCTTTTAAAGTTTCACATGAGTGCGGACAAACATGAATATAAAATTGGTGGCTGGTCAACAGAGATGTAATCTGATTACTTTTTTCAAGTAACGAGTAAAGTAAGGGATTACTATTGCAAAAA